TGCCCTCATCGTAAATGAATCGTGCTAACAAATAAAGTCAAAAAAAGGTCTCATAATTTTTCATCTTTTAGTTATCTACCAAAATTAGGTACTACAATACAAATATTTAAGTCCGGCCCAGAACATCTCCCTACTCCTTTCACCCAGTTTTTCGGTTTTGGCAAAATTCGCGCAGTGATAAATGCTTCCTATGTTACCTCTACCATTTCTAACCTCTTTGGCCAAAAGCCAAAAGTTAACCTAACCTAATTTTCACTTTTGTATTTGTATGGTAGAAATGTCACCACTATAACGAACTATACGATTTTTAACAAAAAATGAGTAGTTTACTATGAGAAAAATATTAATTGGGAAAAAATATATTATAGTAGATATGTACTTGTAGGTAAAGAAGAGATATTCCTCGAACTGCTTCGGAAAACGGACTTTGAAAAATGCGCGGTCAAATTTTTCTTTCTCATGTGTATTAAGTAGGGGAACTGCAGATACCTTTCGAGTAGCTGGAGTAATGGAGTACCGATTCGAGTCCAGTAGAAGTAATGTGTCTTCAAATGAATAATGAATCCGTTAATATTCTTTTAGAGGTCAAGAAAAGTGCTTTAAATTTGACTTGGTTTCTGTTTTTAAATTGGAATTTTTCAATACATTTGTATAGAGGTAAGATTTTGGAACGCGAGACGGAGACAGAAGACAGAGGCAAGCGACCGCATAAGGCGACCGAAATGTGTATTTTACGTTTGAATCACATGTAATTAAATTAAGCACATTTGGGACAGTGCGACCGATGCGGCCATGTTTTTCTTTTTAATGTGTATTAAGTAGGGGTGTAGGGGAACTGATTGTAAGTCGCAATTGCGAGATAATAAGTCACATTTGCGAGATATTAAGTCACAATTGTAAGTTAGTTACTCACAAGTGCGTGATAATAAGTCGCAATTGGGAGATTATGTCACAATTGCCAGATAATATTATTTTTTTATATAAAAAAAGTGGCCCAAGGAAGCTTTCGTACATAGCGTCTACCAACTTTGACAATACAAGGTCCAAAATAGTCTAAGCCACATAAGGAAAATGGTTTTACAAATGGTGTTGTGCGAGCAGTCGGTAAGTTTCCCATAATTGGAATTTTTTGTAACTTGACCAATAGTTACTTTGTGATTGTGTTGTATTTGTGTTGGGTTTTTAAAAACCAGGAATGTCGTAGTCAATTCTACTACTTACTCTAAGAATTCTGGAATCATTCAAAAAAGGTAACACTTTATAGATTTTACTAGATTTTAAAATCGATTCATTATTTCTAAGATTGAATACCTCTTCAGAAAATTCTAGAAACTGTAATTTTTACAACATTCTTCTTCGGCCGTAATTAACCCTTCATCAGTGAGAAATAATTTTAAAATAGGATACTCCTCGTCGTGGTTCAAGAAGAAAATCGTTGACAACCAGGTAATGGTGAAATTGTTCTAATAGCTTTAGTTACCGCTTGAACAAAATCAGTATTTTTCATTTCTTAGTTTACCTCTTTCTTAAACAATAAATCAAGATGATCACTGCTAATATCTTCAGCGAAGAAGAATGATAAAGAAAATTGGGATCTCTTAACCTCGTTGAGTCACTATTTTTTTTAATTCCCATTTTTTTATAGAAATTTGAGATATTTCCTCATCCCATTTGGAGTTTTCTCTTGCAAAAGTATTCTACCTTTTATAATAATATTTTAAAAAAAAAAACCTAATGGATTACCATTTTGAGTAGGGGAGAGCGGGTCGCAGTGGCCATCGGGGCACAGTGGTCAGTATGAAATAATTTTAAAACACATTTAGTACATAGGTTGCCATCTAGTAGACAGTTGCAAAACTATTCAAAGAACTATGTCTATTATGCTCTGATTCTTAAATTTGCCACAGATTAATTTTATTACTGTTTTGTGTTTACCGTGCAGCACGTGTAAAATTCAGGTGAGTTTTATTTTTGTTCTCTTATCATTTAAAATGATTCTTGACTATTTATATGTATATATATTAAATTATTAACATATTGTACTAATAAACTACGCAATTTGAGAGCTAGAAAAATACAAACAAAACTTTAGCCAGGAATTTCATTTTAAGGTTAGATTTGTACACAGTGGCCAGGTTTATTTGGGACACAGTGGCCTCTGCTAAATACAAAATTATGGGATGGCCACTGTACCCCGTATTCAAATAATTATTGTTTAGCAGCTTTTCTTTATAATTTATTTTAAGATAGACGAATGTTTTTCTCAATTTCAGATCGTAAGATTGTGAAGATGCCACGCAACAGGAAACGCAAAAAGCAGCTGTTAGATCTGTATTAGATGAACGTTTATCTACAAAATCGGCTGCAGCTCGTTACAATATATCACGAACCACATTACGTAGGTATATTAAGAAATGCCGTGATGCAAAAATATAAATTGGGACGAACCAGAATTTCCAAGAATGAGACCAAATTATGAATGCAGAAAGGTTTTTACTAGTGAAGAAGAGGTGGAATTATGCCAATACCTAATAAAATGTGGAAAACTACACAACGGTTTACCACCGAAAGCTGCCAAAAAACTGGCGTACGATCTTGCAGCAGCTAACGATAAAATTATTCTGGAAAGCTGGCACCGAGATCAATCTGTTGGGAAGGAGTGGTTTACGGCATTTATGAAAAGGAATCCGATAATTTCTTTACGAACAGCAGAAGCAACGTCTATATCAAGATCTGTAGCCTTTAACAAGCCTGTTGTTCATAAATTCTATGATGATTTAAGGGATTTATACGAAAAATACCCAACTTTAAATGCAAGCAGAATCTATAATACAGAAGAAATAGCTTTAACCACTGTACAGGGATCAGGTAAAATCATTGCACAAAAAGGACAGAGGCAAGTTGGACAAATAACATCCGCTGAACGAGGCGTTCTGGTCACCATGTGTGGTACAATTAATACTCTTGGAAACTGTATACCACCTCTTCTGATATTTCCCAGGGTTAATTTTGAAGAAAATATGATTAAGAACACTCCATTAGGAACAGTAGGGGCAGCTTCACCGACGGGTTGGATAACGTCTAAAATATTTGCAAACTGGATGTATCATTTCATTAAGTTCGCCAAACCTTTATTAGAAGATCCCATACTACTGTTAATAGATAACCATGAAGCACACTTATCCTATGAGGTTATCAAGCTAGCAAAGAATTCCGGCGTTATTCTTTTTACACTATCTCCACATACAAGTCATAAGCTGCAGCCACTTGACAAATGTGTATATGGCCCCCTGAAGCGTTACTATAATGAGGCATGTAGATCCTGGCTTGCATCTAATCCTGGTAAAAGAATAACGATATACGAAATTGCTGAATTGTTAGGCATCGCCTATCCCCATGCTTTTACACACAAAAATTGTATATCTGCATTTGAAAGTACTGGTATTTTCCCATTAAATAAATATATGTACGGTGACGACGAGTATTTAGCAGCAGAAGTAACGGATAGACTGGACAATAAGCAATGCAGATTAACTGGTAAAGAAAGCGAAAATCCACGTCCAGTAACTCCTCTAGGTCAAGCCATAGCGCCAACCAGTGCATCCAGTACATATTCTTCTACGGCACCGGGAAAAGTTTCGTCAATAAATAAAACTGTACCAGTCTCAAATTTTGTATCTCTAGAGGTATTGCGCCCATTTCCGAAAGCCAGCGTAGAACAGAATATAACTAAAAGGGGAGGGAGGAAGAAAAAGCGAGCTGAAATTCTGACAAGCACGCCAGTTATGAATAGAGTGGAAGAAGAAATCATGGAAAAAAAGAGACAGGAAAGTTTAAAGCGAAAGAGAAATATGGAAAAGAGTGCTGGAAAGCAAAATTAAAAACTTATGGAACTTATAGAATCTACAAGTGAGAGTGAAAATGAGATGTCAGACTTATCAAATGTTTCAAATGACGACAGTTATAATAATTCTGAAGGGTATTTTGACACTGCAAATACTGTTGTTAAATCATTTGTCTTAGTTAAGTTCGCAACAAAAAGAACCATAAAATATTTTGTTGGCCAAGTCGATAATATCAATACAAAATTAAACGAGTATATTATTAATTTTTTAAGGAAATAAGTTTGTATTTCCTAATGTTAAAGATGAGGCAATCGGTGATATTGTTACCGTTCTTCCACCACCTTTAAATTCAGGGGGTACCTCGAGATTGCAAAATACGTATAGATTTGGTATTGATCTTAGCGGCTATAACGTGGAGTAAAGCCTCTATTATTTAATGCCTCTTTTTATTAGTTCTGTTTGGGTGACCAATGTACCCCATATATGTGGCCACTGTTCCCCACGTGTGGGGCACTGTGGCCAGTTTTATTTTTTTTTAAATAATGCTATTGTTACTTTAGTGAATAATTCTTTTTTTTTTAATAAATTTTTTATAAATAGTAAAAACTATGTTTAATATTATCCCGTAAAAACCGTATCAATGGATACATTAATTGAAGAGAGAAAAAATATAAACCCAGAAGGTGGCCACTGTGACCCGCCTTCCCCTACTTCTCGTTTTGTTGGAATTTTTTCAAAATTCAAAACATTATCTGACAGGTTTTTAAATTTTAAGCACAAGAAAGGGGCTTTTAAATAATCTTCATACGTCTCATATAGGAGTTGTTAAGATAAATAGTGTATCTAGATCTTATTTTTGGTGGCCTAAGCTCGATAAAGAATAGAAAAAGCCCAAATAAAGCTGTTTTAGTATCCACCTTAAGTAACTTTTAAAGGAAAAAGATTATTAAAAAACAAAAACAAAAAATACGTCAATTAATATTCGAAGTGGGAGATATTGTGCCATATATAGGTGTTCTTAAAAAGTCACCCTTTCACGCCTGCTGTCATCCCTTCAATTTTTTTTATCCATTTTTGGATTTCTCTTGTTTAACTGATTTCAAAAATGTATAAAACATGGAGTTTAAAATAATAAGTTTATGATCTACAGGGTTTCTTTATTTTAGTGACAGAGTTTTACATCTCAACTTACTGACTGCAGGAAAATTTGATTTAGAATACATTATACCTTAATCGTACCGCTAAAAATTTTAGAAGTATTGTATTGTAAATGATACAAACTTACAGGGTAAAAATAATGTTGGAATACTGACATACTTTAAATTTGTCTTGTTGCGTACAGATATAAACGTAGCTGTTTGTACAAAAAGGGCAGAACAAACTTTGTATTTTTGACGTTCTTTTTTGATTCTACATCAATAATTAAGTTTTTCTTGCCCAATGCAAAACACCACTGGATGCGTATCTGAAACGATTATAAATATTAACAATATGCAAGTAAAAAACATTGTAAAATTTTAACTCACTTTTTTATCTTTGGGTAAAATGTGCATTTTCGAGCCTTTTGACGAGTTTTTGCACGAAGGTACACAACGCTTAACCATCTTTAAAAAAGTCCTAAATTACTTATATTACACACAAATGTCAACAAATTAATAACAACAACAAATATTCAAGAAAATAAGCCAAACAAAGCTTCATTCATATGATTCATCTCAATTGACATTATTGTATTGACGTTTAATTGACAGACGTGACAGAGACACTGACAGAAATGACAATTATAAGTACTGTGCTGCCATTAGCGGAGTGACTTCTAACTTTAGACACTATTTGACATTTGAACGTGTATATTAAATCCAAGAATAAAACTGATTAAATAAAGAAAATATAACGCAACTTCACTTTAAACTTAAGATTGATTTTTTTTTTCAGAATGACCTTTATCTATCTACTACCAGTGACATCTTCCATGAACTACCTAGTATTACACGACATTTATTTTATTGGATTATATTAATAATATCAGTTTTTGCAATTATTGGAAATTTACTTGCAATTAGATCCATGACAGAAAGGTAGGTTTAAGATAATATTACCTGTATATCATTAATAGTCTAATTCACAAAACATTTTTTAAGTTGCCCACAAATAAAGTTGGACGCTATTTCAATTTTAATGTTAGTAAACTGACAATATTTACATGTTTTTCTACCGATTTCTGTTTTCAGAAATATATCCATCAATATTTAATTTGTTAAATATTTAAGCAAACAACCTTATTTATTTACAAAAAATAGTAATCACAGGATTGTTACAAAATAGGTAGACTCACAGATCAAACGCCAAAGTCATGTCGCATATGCTCGAAGCATGTCGCCTATAAGTCTATCCTCTTTCTTACTAAAAACGCTAGAAAGATTGATAGATAGGTAAATCAGCAAGGAGATATTAGAAATAAATCTGCTCCATCCCAACCAATATGCATGCCAGCCAGGAAAGTCAAATTACCTAGCGCTGGACGTACTAAACAGGTTGCTTTCAAAGTAGATAGATGTAAAATAAATCCAAATAGCCAATTTCTTAAATATCGAAAGATCTTTCAATATTGCCTCAACCAGGTCAATAACAAAGACTAGAACATAAAAACGTCCCAGTCACAATATTCCAATGAATCACTGCCAGCCTAGAAAATAGGATCATTTTATACACTGTTGGAAAGGCAACTATTCAGGCAAAACTTACACGGAGCTGCCCGCAAGGAGGAATACTATCTGTGCTGTGGTCAGTTCTAGTAGATGATTTACTCAAAACATTCTCTAGAGAAGGCTATCAGTGCCTAGGATACACGTACGACCTAGCAATTATCGCCAGAGGACTATTTGCATTCACAGTCAGACACATCTAAAAATAGTGAACTGGTGCAAAAAGGAGCAGTCTGTCCATTAACGCACAAAAAACAACAGTTGCGTGACATATGTAATCACAAACGGTATTATTCTGCTTAAATCCGCTAAATCGCGTGGTTTAGGTTTGTATAACATATTTTTTACATATACCTATAAGAAAAATTTTAATGGCGTAAGATCAGATGAACGTGCTGGCTTCACCTCCCTATCCACGGATTTGGAAATAATTGGTCGAAGTACTGGCATACATTGTTTTGATAATGTGGTGGTGCTCCATCTTGCTGAAAACAAATCACATTCGCTGGAACTTTTGGGTTTGCTTGACCAGGATATAAATTTGTCAAAGTTGACACGATTATTTTGGAGTGTTAAATAATTATTTTCATTGAAATTGCCATCATTGAAAAAGGGACCAATGACATACTCTTCAACGATTCCTGCCCAAACATTAACGTTTTCAAGGTATTGTGTATGAGCTCCTGGGTTGGTATTATGAAGACTAGATAGAAGGAGGCGAATCGGCAGTGATCAAATTTAATATTTCTGTTCTACTTTTTATAAAGTTCGCTAAATTGACTGTAGTTGGCAGGTCGAACGTCACTGCTGTTTATTTTGTATAGAAGTCAATGTAAAATGAAGTGATTTTTAAAAAAATGGTAAAAGAATCAAAATAATGTAAAAAAAATTACATGATTTACTTCGTTCCAGATTGTAAAACGGGATACAAATCAGATGTAAAACTGTAGAAAACACAAGGAGAAATCTTTAAAGCTTCTAATGTAAGTAAAATAATGTATTTATGTCTAAATATAATATTTATTGTCAACTAGTCACACTACGATCAAGGAGTGTAGTTTATTTTATTACAAGTTCCTATAAAATAAAATTTGCAGTCATAGATTCTGACTTACAAACAACAATAATTATACATTAAATTTAACTTACTAAAAAATATTTTTGTCATTGGAAATGTTTTTTATAGGATCCTAAATGCTTAGAACAGTGGCAGCATATATATCGTTCCTAGGGCCGATAAAGCACTTTCTAGAGATATAATTATGGTTCTACACTTTTTAGAAGATATTTCCAAATAATATGAGACTCTTCATACTAATGGTACTGTTATCAAAATAAAAAAGGAAGAGCCGAAATTAACGGACGATGCAATATCATGTACATTCCAAAATCTCCCTTTATGCTTGTATTATAACAATAAAAATATCTGGTAACTGTGTTTTATTTTGCTCTTAAAACTATATTTAGGTATATTTCAAAAATATTTAACACGTTAACTGTCGCCCTAGAGTAAAAAGAACGTATCTAAGGGGCCACCAAAAAATTTGTTTATTTTCAGGTTATATTAAAGTGCAAGAACACATTCTGTGACAAAAAAACACAAAATAGTCTTAGGGGTTGAAGTTACTCCCGTGAACCATATATAATTCACGCGGCCTCAGAAGCAAAATGACAGCTTCTGAGCCACGTGCATTATATTTAATTCATTCATAATTTAGAAGCAATGACCTCCCACTCTAAAGGTATGCGATGTCCTCATGTTGAGCATAATGGACGATGATAGTATGGTTGATGTAGAAACCGAAAATGATAAAATTGTCAAAAAACTTAAATAATCCTAGACTATAACAACAGCAAGGGATTTATTAACATCTTAGATCAAATGAAAGCCTATTCAGCTGCACTAAGAAGTGGTGTAAAATGGTATACAAAACAAGTATTAGAAATTAAAAATTTAAAAAAACCGACTTCAAAAACGTGCAGATGCCGTCACCACATCTTAACCAAATATATGTGGGACGACCCCTGAGGTATCCCCTTACTAATAAAAAAAGAATCATTTAAATCGGACAAGGTGGTAAAGCATTATCGCTAAACATACATAAAAAATGAAGAGTTTGAGGATTTTCTCACGAATCCAATTATTATATTTTGACCAAATTTATATGGGACCACCCCTGAAGTACCCCCTTTCTAACAAAAAAAGAATTATTGAAATCGGACACCGTATTGAAGAATTATCGCTGAACATACATAAAAAAAAATATCGCGACGAATTGATAACCTCCTTTTTTGAAGTCGGTTAATTAGCAATCGAGTTGATTACAGGTACAGCACTTGTCAATGCTTACATTATTTATAAAAAAATAATAGGAGAACATATAAGTATTACAAAATTCAAAGAAGAGTTAAAAATGGGTCTTTTGGGTAAGGGGGCGTCCATTAATTACGTGAGGTATTTTTGAGGATTTTTTGACTCCCCCTCCCCCCCTGGCGAGATTTGGTAAGATTTTGCTTAACTTCCTCCCCCCCCTTCCCTAATATTACGTGAGATTTTTCAAAATTCGTGTTTTGGGTGTAAATGTGTTATATTATTAAAAAAAAAAAAAAAAACAAAAACACAATATGTTCCATTACTTTTATTTAAGACTAGCAGAGACTAGTGTTTGAGAGTGTTGCAATTATTTAAAATCACAATAATAAAATTAAATGATAAATACTTAAATGGAAATTAATAAAAAATCTATTCTAATTCAGTCCACGGAGACTCATGCACGGCCTCAAGAGTGATTACTGGAACCAACATATCCAAGTGATTTTCAATGAAATCATCTGCTCCTTTAACTTCGCTCTGATTTAGAGGTGTGTAATGTGACACTTCCCAACCTTCAATAACGTAAATAATGACAACATTACATATTATATGGTTGTAAATAAACATAATTATAAGATTTTTCCATATTTTATTCTAGAAATACTTTTACTATAATTTAACTTTACTTTCACGCAATTTTACACCGTTTTCTACTAGAAAAAAATTACGTGAGATTTACGAAAACATCCCCTCCCCCCCCAAGTGAGATTTAGAAAGATTTAGTTTTATCCCCTCCCCCCTTGAACACCTCACGTAATTAATGGACGCCCCCTAAACAAGAGAAGATGATACATCTACAACCACAGAATGTGGTTTGAAAAATATAGGATCACAGAGGAAAAGATGTCTTGTATGTTATGAAAAGCTGAAATCTGAATTTAACAGTTAACTCCATACAAGTATGAAAAATGCGACACGTTTTATTGTATTGAATGTTCCTTTCTTAGGAATAAATCTACTAGATTTTTAGCTTTTGCTTTTAGTTTTGTACTGTAATTCCCGTTATCACATTTAGTCTGTCATTATTTTTTGGACCAATGTACTTACATATATATTTTAGTTTATTTTTATATTATAAATAGCCATTTATTTTAAGCACAGAAACTAATAAATAATAATCATTTAAACAATAAATAATTGTTCAATTAATTGGTTTTTAAATTATTTTTACATAAATTTAAAAAGTATGGCCATAATTTTTCTAAACAACAAAACATTTGTAGGCCATCAACCGATTTTCGCCCCAGGCCACACTTTTAAAGATCCCTTATGCTGGCCACGGTCGCGTCATTATCCTACTATGCACGCGGCCAAGCAAGAACGTTTTAGAATTATATATAATTCGCACGGCCCATTGGGCTTAAGGCCGTGCGAATCATATTTAATGCACATGGCAGTTAACGTGTTAAACACAAAATTGTACTTACCAAATTTCACCATTTAACAAATCTTTTCGAATTTGCATTTTATATAGATACAATTAAATAATTTATCAATTAAAACATGCGAGATTTATTTAGAAATAAATACAACAGTATATTATGTGCTTTATTTGGCAATAAAGAAGTTTATTTTTATTATTTTGACAAAATTATGTAAAATTCCCATAAGAAACCATATATTTTTGAACTGCGCTACTAGCACCAGCGCTATTGCGGTGAATTAAAGAAGCTCAATTGAGGAGCAACTATCCAAAATGCATTAAATCCATAATATGTTGTTTTGAGTAAAACTTAAAAAACTGGAGAAATGAGTTAGAAGAGACAGTGCAATTTTTATTTACTGCAGAATGATATAAATAACAGTTTTAAAGAGAAATATTTTCAGTTTTAGTTTTAATTTAAGATTTTCCCAACAATATGTGTATTTTTTTAATGGATTTACGTCGTTTTGCTCAACTAGAATATGGATTTATGCCATTTTGCCCAGTTAGTGTGGATTTATTCCTTTTTGCTTAATTCTCATTTGGATTTATTGCGTTTTGCTTAAAGTGATTAATTTTACATTATTTACAAGGCAAATAAAATCTAAAACTTTAGTGAAAAACTGGTTTTATTAACGAAAATTAAAAAATACAATTAAATATATAAACCAACATCTTCCTCTAAGCAGTCGCAGGTATTTTCGGCCTCGCCTTGTTCTTCCTCTATTTCATCTTGACTAGCTTGTAAAATAGTTTTGTACCATACTAGATCATCTTCTTGTTCCCATTCTTCGCCATACTCTTGGGCTAATAAGTGTTTCAATGATTTTTTCTTTTTTCCTTAAGTGGTCTTCAAAGTTTAAGAGCTTCCATTTTTAACTCTTTTTTACCTTTTTTAAGGAGGGTTTTTGGAGTCTCAGCTGTACTTTCAAACCTAAAGTTTTATGCGTGCAGCTTGATTTTTTCGCAACACAACTCTTTTCATATCCGATATATCATCAGTTTTTTTTAAATAGGTCTTTAAGTGTTTGACGTCATAAAGCAACCAGTCTTGCCCAAGACATTTTACTTCTCCAAATTCTTTATATATCTCATCATATCCCTCCTTATTCTTTATTGTTGTGTGCTTTCTTAAAACTTTCTCCACTCGACCAAATACCCTATGTCCTCTTACTGGAAAGGTAATATTAATCTCAGGTACGCTCTCGGGCGATTGTTTTTTTAAATAGTAATAAAATGCATGAATTACATGGGCATTTTTATTTTGCCCTCCGCACCCATCACAAAAGAGACGAATTTTTGTTTGTTCGAGAGATCTAGGGAATTCAAATGGTCTAACAGTGCAGATGATACCTCCACAAATCCCCTACCAGCCATATCCTCGGTCCATGTATAAAAAGTAGGTGCTTTAGCTTGCATATCGACACAACAAAGTACGTAATAGCTTACTTGCTGGGCGTAAAAAGCATCGTTTATTGGTGTACGAGGGAGCGGTTGGACTTGCATATCAAAACAGAATGTTAGCGAATCTGGTGGGGATGCTCTGGCTAACTCATAAAATGCTTTAGCTCTTTTATTGTGAATCCGATGTTTAACTATTAGGTCACTTTTCTTGTTGGGGTCCTTTTCCATTTTAATTTGATATTTTAAACGATTACATAACGCACATATATCTGTCGCTGGCGAAGAAAAACCAAATTGAATTTTGTTCTAAATATAACACTGAACATAGTCAGATTGCAACGATCTTAAATATCTGTACATTTTGAGATATACATTTGGTGTAATTTTGCAATATTTAGGTTGGTAGGCAAATAAATCCTTTTTGATTTTGTCCTGGAGTAATGACTCTCACACCCCTTTAAATTTCCTATAAATTCGATTATTTTTCTTTTCTTGTCTAACGTCTTATGGGAAATATGGTCGCCACCTCTGCGCTCGTTTAAATCAAGATTGTTAACTTTTTTTTACATACGCTGTTAACTCTTCGCTCCGTAATTCCTAGAGCTTTTACTAAAAATTTTAGACAAACCCTTGTAGGCCTAGTTTCTTTTTTGGGGGCCAAATGGTAAAGAGTATTAAAAAAACGCTTTCGAGGATTTGGTTTGCAAGTACGTTTTCTTTCCACGGGGCCAACGGATATCATATATGACAGTTTAACATCCTGGTCTGATTTAATGCAGGTAGAATAAAATGATTTTCTTAATAGTTTAATGTCAGGCAATTTACTATTATTACATTTAAAACTTTTACCTGAATGGTTGCAAGGTCTTTTAAATTTTTTAAGCAGTGGATCTTTATCTTCATACCTGCAAAAAAATAAATAATTGTATATTGAAAACAATTAATAAATAATTTACAATTATAGTTTTTTCATTATTATCTTACCTTTTACATTTTTCAATAGTTTTTTTAGGTATTTTACGTATTTTTTTTTTTCGACTTCCCACATTGCCATTCTTTACAGAGATGTTAAACTCTATATCTTCCATTTTAAAACACGCAAAGGTACTTACTTAGTCGTAATGTCTCTCAAAGCATCAAAACAATCGCGCGAAACGATCCCTACTCCTACCCTCTGTCCTACCTAATATTTATCATTCTGCCAAGTGTTGAACACAATATGACATCTATTGGCGAATGTTTATTCTAACATTTTTTAAAATAAAAGGAATAAAACTTTTTAGGCAGAAATCTTTTTTATGGATTTATTGCACTTTGCTTAAGGCTGCGACATTTGATCCAGCGGTTTTGCAACAAAGCAAGTATTCAATACATTGTAGATAGATGGCAATACCTGCACCTGTAGCTCGTATAACAATTTTATTTTTAAGCGTACTTGTTTTTATATCCAGGTTGCCAAATCTAGGTAGACAGATACCAATAAATGTTTTAGAAGAATAATATATTTTGCGATATCCAGTTTCAATTTAATAATTGCACTGTTACATGAAAAATTAATCTGTCAAAACTTGTACCTAGTTGGTAAGTAGTAAGTAGGTTAAATGTAACAAGAAGAAAAAAAAACATTAAATTTTACTTTAGAATAATATTTCAACATTTATTCACATTATTGGTATATTGTATTCACTTGTAAACTATATTTGACGGTCATAATAATAATTTTAATCCTAAAGAACCGGGTCAATTGAACTTTTCCTCATCGCAATTTTTGGGTTGGAGTGAAAGGTATTTTATGGTTGGGTAGAAATTTTATTACTTTATGGTTTTTCCTAATCCGAAGGGTTTTGTTTACATTTTACCTAAAAATTTGCAAAACTTCTATAAATATAAATCGATTATTTTAGAATTTAAATGATTCCTCGATTCATTTCGGTAATAAAATAAGAATTTTTAATTTTTTATGCCTACTTATTAGGTAATGGTACCTCTAAAATGCATAATGATATTACTTAAGTAAAAATATAATTTGACAATAGCGTGATCGCTCATGCTTTTGTTGATTAGACAGAAATTGTGAAACTTAACAATCGATTGTATCGATTATTGTGAATTTCGGAACTAAGCAAATGGTAGTCTCTGGCAACTGACAAGACAAAAAACTCAAATGTCGAAGGATTGAAGTCTAAACGACAAAACGTAAACAGTTCGTTTTTCGTGTTTGAATTTTGGCAAATTTTTGAGTGGGTGTTATTTTTTTTTGTGCTTTTTCGTTATTCGTGATTTTGTTACTTTTATAAGACTTCATTAGTTATAAGGATATTTAGTAGTTAGTGAATAAACTTTTACCTTATAAAATATGGGGCATCATACAAATGTCCCGAGTAGAAAGAGGAAGAGAAATAAGATGTGCAATTGGAAAGTCATGTGTTCCCAAAAGTCGTTTGGTTTCAAAGTTCTTCAAGGAATAAAAGTGTAACAAAAATTTAATGTTGAAAGATATAAAAAGGATTCATTTCCAATATTTTTGACATCTGTATTATATTTTAGGTTGTTTTTATTGTAATATACTATAATCTTTTTTCTAATAAACTACTTTTTGTTTTATGTCTAATTATTTTTATATTTCCTTCCACCCATGTCCTATCAATAATTATTTTTGGAATAAACAAAAATATTTCGGTATTTTTGCAAGTTTTGAATTAGTTTTTATTAAAATTGCTCATAAACCGATACAATTAACATTAATAAAACTGATTATAATAACTACTTCAAACAAACTCAAAATTAATATTGCAGAAAAATATCCATTTGTACACCACTTCATTGGCTTCAATTCTTAAAATTAGTCTTCATGACACGTATATGACATACAGTGAGTGCAATAAAGTTGGGTCCATATATATATATATATATATATATATATATATATATATATATATATATATATATATATATATATATATATATATATATAAGAGAGTTGATAGTCGTTGCTGACTAGTTAATAATTTAACCAGTAATTTGTGGGTAATGCAGCAAATGAAAGTTTACTTTTTTAAGTTTATTCCAAGCTTTCGGAAATGTTTATTTCCATCATCAGGGAGACTAAAATAAAATAATACCACATATTATGATAAAGTAAGGTAAAATTTTTTAATTACTTACATCTTAATTAAGGTTGTTCATTATGGTGGTATTATTCATTTTAGTGTAAATATACAATGGACAAGCTGAATCAATTACAAAATAATATACACAAACAATAATTACGATATTTTAAAACTAAAAAAATATAAATAACGAAAGGTCAATTTGACAATTTGACATGACAAGTAAATGTTATGTAAATATAGCATTATCCACATTTATTTCCTAACCTTTAATAACTTGTTATTTATTTAAAATTTACTTGTCATGTCAAATTGTCAAATTGACCTTTCGTTATTTATATTTTTTTAGTTTTAAAATATCGTAATTATTGTTTGTGTATATTATTTTGTAATTGATTCAGCTTGTCCATTGTATATTTACACTAAAATGAATAATACCACCATAATGAACAACCTTAATTAAGATGTAAGTAATTAAAAAATTTTACCTTACTTTATCATAATATGTGGTATTATTTTATTTTAGTCTCCCTGATGATGGAAATAAACATTTCCGAAAGCTTGGAATAAACTTAAAAAAGTAAACTTTCATTTGCTGCATTACCCACAAATTACTGGTTAAATTATATATATATATATATATATATATATATATATATATATATATATATATATATATATATATATATATATATATGGCAATTTGTTTTAATATTATGACCGGAAAAAACGTCATTTACCTCTGATTATTTAAAAAGTTGGCTACGTACGTTACTTACCTGTCAAATTCGTAATAATTTTGAAAAATCGCTCAAATATTCTTTTTTAAACGAGACTGACAGAACTAAATCCAGTAGTCAAATTTAATATGGGTTGGTTTAAGTTTTTAAATAACCAGAGATGATGGTTTACGATGTTTTTTCCAATCGTAATATCAAAAAAAAAAACTCACATATGGATCCAACTTATTGACACACACTGTATAAAGCAGGTTTGAGAACGTACAAAACTATATTTTTTTTAATTGTTGTCAACTAACAAAAGTGCTTGTGCCTTAAAATCTTCCCGATTTTGTCCATGGAGAAAGATTTTGTCACTCAATAAATATCTTTAAAACCATTGTAAACATACATAGAACGGCAACGTCGTATTATCATTGATTATCATATACAAGTATATTTGAGCAACGGTTCGTATTGTACTTTGAAATAATTTGACATGCCGTTTGCATTTCTAATTGGTCAACCAATAATTTGACATAAGACGTTTACTTTTCTGATTGGCAACCATTAGTTGTCGCCCAAGTTTCAATGCATATGTTAACTCAGCCTTGCATGTCGCATTGGTGGTGAACACGATGTACTAAAATGACATGATAATTAACGCGTCAATTTTAAAAATTGTGTCAAAATTTGCAAATTGAAATCATGCTTTTTGTAATAATTATTAGACCGACAGCCGTCATATTGTAGGATAGTTAATAAAAAATCATAGATAATTCATTGAAAATAATTTGCTTAATCATCCTTGCAATAAAATTTTTTTCCCGCCCAGGGAGTGTCATAGGCCTGGTTTTAACATACATACAGACATAACCTTTTTGTGTTGTTCTCGTTTTGTATTTTAACAAGTTCTAAAATATAGTTAGTAATTCCTAATTACATGATTTATTTAATTATTACTAGGACTAAATGAGTATACAGTCTACACGAGTCAAACAAGTAAAAACACGCAATGCGTACGTCGCAAGCGTAACACGTCCAACAGAGCTCTTGAATGTTTTAATTGGACCGTTTTCCTACAGCGCGTGTTCCGCAGAGCATTTAGTCCATTAAGGACCGATTCCACCGTTGTGTTAAACGGAGTTTAAAATGACATTTTTACATTAACAATGTCATTTTAATCTCTGTTTAACACAACGGTGGAATCGGTCCTTAAACTAACGGTAAAAGGTCGAGAAACTCCGCACTTGACGAGACCACTTGTCCCCTACGTATTTTGGGGCACTGATTACGAAAATGAGGGTTAAAACGCAGCAATGGTTGGAACACCCCTAAAATTCCAAAAAACACCCATAAATAGGGGTGTTTTTCGACTATACTTTTTGTTTTGCAAACTAACTCATCTCATATGTTTTTTGGGGCGCTGATTACGAAAATGAGGGTTAAAACTGGCAGCAATGGTTTAAACCACCAATAAAATTGCAAAAAAACACCCATTTACTTGTTGTTTTACAAACTAATTCATCTCATATGTTTTTTGGGTCACTGATTTCGAAAATTTCAATTCATTGTCGTCCAAATGGTTAGTAATAAGTAACTTAAAGCAGCCTTCCAATTCATTTGTGTTCAAAAAGTATCTTTTTCTTTTTCTTTTTCTTTTTCTTTTTCTTTTTCTTTTTCTTTTTCTTTTTCTTTTTCTTTTTCTTTTTCTTTTTCTTTTTCTTTTTCTTTTTCTTTTTCTTTTTCTTTTT